GGGCACCGGGCATCGACCGCGCGGGGCCACAAAGATCCGGGCCGGGGCCGGGCGGGCAGGCGTTGCCCTCGGCGCTGCGCGGGGGTAGGGCAGGCGGGGGCTGGGCGCGGAAAGCAGGGGAGTCATTGTTTGGGTGCGGGAGCGACGCACGTTGCGGGGCGCATACTCCCCCAGGGCTTCACCTTGGCGGGATGAATGGGGGCGCGTGGAGACGCGTGCCTCGGTCCGGAGCCCGGAGCGATGGGCGCTCGCCCGCGCTGGTTATTTAGGAAAGCCGGCGAACTTGCCGGAGGGAATGGGAGTGGGAGCTGCGCACCGCTCTACTGAGGGGGTGGGGAAGTCTGTGTCCCCGCCCTGCACCCAAAGGGAGCCCCCAGAAGCGGGTGGCCCTTGACGCCTCCCCAGGAGGCGCCTCCCGCCCAGCCGCCGCCGCAGCCCGGGAAGCGGATCCGCGGGATTCTGGAGCGGGAGAGGCGGCGGCGGCGGCCGGCGCTGCCCAGCAGTTCCCGCGGGTGCTCGGAGGGCGCGGGGTCAGCGCCGCACTGGAGGGTCAGCTGGGGCGGGGAGGAGACGCGGCGGAAGCGGCGGAGCGGGATGGGGAGTGTGCAGAACTGGCGGCGGTCTGGGATTGAGGTGGCCTCCGCCACTTTTTTTGCAAACCTAGGTGAGCGAGAGCGCTGGGGCGCCCAGGCCGGCTGACCCCTGCGCTCTGCCCCCGTGCCTGCCCCGCGTGGGAACTCGCCCTGTACATAGAAGACCGCGAAGGGGAAGTTTGCGTTCGGAGAGAAAGATTTGCAATATTGTGGGATTAAGTGGCGCGGCGAGAGAAACGAGGGAGAGGCCGAGAAACAGGAAATGAGAGCGAAGGGACGAATTCTAGCCTGGGAAAGCCGACTTCTACATTTTGTGTGACATTTTCCAAACACTTCTAAAGGCCCGGCGTGCATTATTAATGAAAACAAAGGGAGTGTACTGCCTGGGGCGTTTTATATCCATGGCCATATTCGGTCTCAGGGAAGATGGGAAAGTGGTCCAGCCTGGAGGACTCCGGAGCCCACTTTTAAATCCCCCATCCTCCCCCAACGGGGTGTATCAGTTATCCTGCATCTTAGAAATGAAACCGGATTAAGAGGAGGGGGTCTGTCCTGGTGTTAGGCTTTCAAAGAAAAACAAATGAAGTAAGTGTAAAAGTATGTAAAAAGGCAAAAGAAGCCCACCTCTGTGGGTGTGACAGGGGAATCAGGAAACCTGGAAGCCCAGAGGTCATTTGGGGTGAGGGGTCTCTGTTCTGGGGAGAAAGCCGCGCCTGTTGCCATTCCCTAGTCTTAGCCTGGACACTCTGGCGCTTCTGAATGAAGCAACATGAACAGACAAGTTTGAAAAGCTGTAGAATATCAACAAATGTACAGTATTTAAAGGAAAAACTTGCCTGTACTAGAAATATCCTCAGTTTCCCTATAGGTGGGGCAGGGCGAGGCAGGGAATGAGGAAGTGAGTTTAACTCTTAAGAGTGAAAGGATGCTATAAGAACTGATGTCTCCGTGGCAATTCTTACACTAACAGCTCTATCTCAGAGAAAGCTGAGTGGCCGACTGACCATAAATACATTCTAGAAGAATTTCTGCCCGTGGAAAGGCAGTCCAAATGTGCTCTCCCTTCTTATAGCAACTGCACGGGTTTGGGGATAGAACGAGGAAAGAGAAAATAACGTACAAGAAACCTTTTCAGAGGCATAAAGAAGTCAGAACCAAGTCAAGGTTAAAGCCTGGAATCTGAATAGTGTGGGTAAAAGAAAGAAGTGCATCAAGTATTGGGGGAAAATACTGCAGTTTTTTTTTTTCTTTTTAAGTAACAGAGAAGAAGGAATAGATATGTTCAAGGCAACTCTAGCTAGAAGAGGGGGAAAAGAAAGAAGAAAAATACAGGTGATTCTGTGAGCTGGGTATGGGTGTGGAAGAGCAAAAAAACAACCAGCACCACCACCATTGTTGGGAGTCAGTAAGAATACTGGAGGAAATCATACAGGTGTGTGTGTGTGTGTGTGTGTGTGTGTGTGTGCAGGCACATTCCAATTCAGACTGAACTTATTAACTCAGGTGTGAACAGAAGGAAATATGGTAAGGGAAACAAGTTCGCATGTGCTGGCAGAAAAGGTGTACGTGCATCTCTTTATATTTAGACCTTCTCCTTCTACTTCTGTTTATATAGGGGGGAAGTCAGAAAATATAAAGAGGGCAAAAGTATCTTACCCAGAATGCATAATTTTGACCATGTAAAGGAATGTATTGAAACTACAGCATGGTAAAATCTGTGTTTTAAGTAACTGTAATCCAGCCCCACTTGATACTTCAGTTCTATTTAAAATGATGATGACTTGGGTCAAAGTTGATGAACCATGTCCTCAAATTTATTTGCTTATTCTTTATTATTGTAAATTGCAGAAAACAAAAATAAAAAGAAATATCAAAAATGATAATGGTGGATATAATGAAGTTCCTATTTATGTTACAGGCATTTGGATTTCATTTAACTAATATCTTGTCCAAGAAAGAGCAAAGCTTACACAAACACCCTCAATGGAAAATAGCATACCTAATTCAATGTAAATGGCAACAAGAACTTCCCAGCTATTTAAACTGTTACATAAAGTGACACTTAAAGTACTTAATTTACTTAAACATTTACTACTAGATCTTAACCAGAGGTGATAATTCTTTTCAAAAATTTAGTGTCCAGATTGAAAAATATTTTATGGTATGATGATTACCTGTACCATACCCTGATTTCTCTAAGGTAAAGCCTCCATAATATCTATGGACATTAAAATTTCATAGGCCTTTGAATTACTGATGCAAAAAAATTGGCTAACATATTCCAGGCAGGAGTAGAGCAATGGAGTATATTTTCAATAGTGAAAATTGGATTGAAAAAGTAGAATTTACTGAAAAAAAAGTGACTCCTAGAATTTTTAAGAATCTTAAATATATTTTTATTATATTTTATTAGATCAAACGTGAATGTCACATTAGGTTTTCAATGGCTTTCTTTGTGTGTGTATCTTATTTTGGCAATAATATTCAGCAAAAGGGATTTTTCTAGTTAAGTATGAGAAAGTCATGTAAAGCCTTACTACAAATGCAAACAGCTGGTGATATTATGTGATTACATAGCAAACAACATGTTTTGATTTGAATGAGATGTCTGGAAATTAAGAGAAAATGACATTTCATAACTTTGTTTTGTTGCAGTCAATACAGATTTGGATCCTAGCAGCATTATCTTCACATCTTCAGATGTGACTCTACATAGTCACTTTCATTCAATCCTTCTCCTGCCAAGCCCCCCATTACCACATGCCTACCCCACACCCCACTCCTGAGGCTCAGGCCTTGCCTTTCAGCAAATCCTTAATTATAGTCTACCTGTATTTAAAACTCTGAAGTAGCACAAACCAGTTTCAATATTTCAGGTTTTGTATATAATACTTTTCCAGCTCATGTGGAAAACCAAACCCTATATATCTTCCATTTCACTTGGTAACCCTCCTTTATTTTCTCCTGTCCACTCTCCCATACACATGGATACTTATGCCATTCCCTTAGCAAAAAAAAAAAAAAAAAAAAAATTATTTTCCTTCTTGGTGCTTCATTGGCTTTCATGGATACAGCGCCTAGCACACTGACCAACTTTTTGTACTCCATTTCTGATGCTCATGTTTTCCCGCCATGGAAATATTTCCTTCACTTTGAAAAGTTATCATTTATGGGATGCTTACTTGACCAACATGAACTATTTTGACCAAAGTAGGCATTCAGGAAATGTCAATTCCCTCACATATTCTTAAGGGACTTACACCTCGCAGTTTTCATTAAATATTGTTGACTTCCCTATCACAAGTAACTGTTTGAAAGTGCAACTTCATCTCTTATTTAAACTTTCTCCTACCCCTCAAATTATTTTGCCAATTTTTTTTTAATTTTTCATTTTATTCAAAGTTGGTACAGAAGTGCTAACAGTTCCACAAAATAATTACTTCAGTTACAGGACAAAATACCACAGAAAGGAATTACTTTGCAAGAAATGATTACTGATTACTAGTTGAGTAAATCAAGCACGTATAGTGTGTAAAATTAGAATGACATGCTCTGAAAAAATATATAGGAAAACCTGAGTTATATTGAAAATAACAAGCAAAACTGGAATGTCTCAATAAATGTCTTTGAACATTAATCCTGGAAGTAACCCTCAAGTAACTTACATTCAAGTTAGAAAATCTTACAT